GTATTAGATCAAAAAAAAGAACCGTTTTGGACCGTATTAGATCAAAAAAAGAACCGTATTGGACCGTATTAGATCAAAAAAAGAACCATATTGGAACCGTATTGGAACCGTGTTGGAACCGTATTGGACCGTATTGTACCGTATTAGATCAAAAAAGAACCGTTTTGGACCGTATTAGATCAAAAAAAGAACCGTATTGGAACCGTATTAGATCAAAAAAAGAACCGTATTGGAACCGTATTAGATCAAAAAAAAGAACCGTTTTGGACCTGTATTAGATCAAAAAAAGAACCGTATTGGAGCCGTATTAGATCAAAACTATATATCATTTAAATCATGTATTATCAATTCCCAATGAAAATCTAGCCATTTTTACATTTTTTGAAAGTAAATCATGTAAACTTTTTTCGTGCTTTTTGATAAGAGTGTGAAAAAAAACGTTTCCAAGGGAAATGGGGAAGGGGTTGGCTCTTCTTTTTTGGGGGAAAGACCCTTCTTGGAATGTTCCTATTGGTGTGGCCGAAATGAAATATCTTCGTTCGATTGAAAATAAAAAAACACTTTTTTCAGTTTTTTTTCCCCGTTTCTCCACCTCTTCTCAATTACTCTTTCAACTTTGGCATTTTTCTCTGATTTTTCTCTGACTACTTCAGATTTTCGATGATTTTTAAACTATGACTTGATAAAATTGTTAAATTCTTTAAGATTCCTTTGTTATTGTTCTAGAAAAATGAGGCTTACAGCTGCAAGTAGTTTTAAATGTAGTTGCAAATAGTTTTAACTGTAGTTGAAAGTAGTTTTAACTGTAGTTGCAAGTGGTTTTAACTTACTGTAGTTGAAAGTAGTTTTAAATGTAATTGAAAGTAGTTTTAAATGTAGTTGAAAGTAGTTTTAACTGTAGTTGCGAGTAGTTTTAACTTACTGTAGATTGATTGAACTATAAGTATCTTATATTAGGTACATGGATAAGAAATGCGAATTTCAACATTTCCATAAATTTCCAACGATAGAAAGCTGATATCGATGAATGTTATAAACTATTTGAAAGTTGTAAATCTCCTCTACAAAATAGACTAAAACGTGTTTCAATTGATCGAAGCATTGAAGAAATTTCGAGGCCGAAATGCGAGTGGCCAAAAAAGGAATCGAGTCACTTTAGGGACAAGTTTAGTGTGGTCAAAATAGAGTTAGCTTCCCAAAATTGAAGTTTTAGAAAAAAAGGAGTATATAGGAGTAGAACGGAAAAACTCGATTTGTCTCCTTTAACACTATATTTTCTAAAAGTTTTTTTGATTAAAAGATAGTACTTGTTATGCTTTATCTTCAAATCAATTTAATCTTTTTGTACCTGTATCTCCTAACTGTAGTCTTACTGTACTATTTTTAGTTTTTTTCCTTTTTTTTTGTGAAAGTATTTTAGCAATATGTTATATGCGGTTATGATTATCTGATTCGCTTCTATTCGCCCCTGAATAAAGCATATACAGGGTGCGGCAAAAGTTCGGAGCCGCTATGAAAACATTGCAGAAAATTTAGCTCACGCTTTTTTTGTGTCTGGTATACTTTTTTTCCTTTTTTCGAGTATAGTTAAGGTGATTTGTTACAAAAATTTTCTTTTTAGGAGCAAAATTCGTAAGAATGAACGCCAAAAAACGACACGATGTGATTCTCGGATTATACCAAGGCGGAAAAAAATAGCCCGGAGATTGTAAAAATCACGAAATATCCAAAAAGCACCGTCAACAAAGCAATTAAACGCTACAAGGAGATAAAGAACAACAAGGATCGCCCTCGAAGTGGTCGACCACCAACTGCCGTAACACCTACGAACATCAACGAAATTCGCTTTCGGATTCGCCAAAACAAGCTGTGGTCGATGCGAAAGATGGGCAAACAGCTGAAAGTTAGCCCTCGAAGCGTTGGAAGGATTGTTAAAGGGAAACTAAGATTCTTTAGCTACAAATTGGCCAAAGCACACGTCTTGAGCGACAAATCCTAGAAGAAATGAAAGCGTCTAGCAAAGAAGATGGTGCGCTTGGTGGCGACTGGCCTACTTGAGAGGATCCTCTTCATAGATGAAAAGATTTTTTCTATCCAGTCATTGCACAACCGCCAAAATCATAGATAACTTCTCAAAAGGGGTCTGAAGAACACATTTGCGGCAAATTTGATGGTGAGAAAGCATTTTTCAGCTTCGATTATGGTGTGTGGAGGTGTGTGTGCTACAAGCAAGACACCGCCGGTTTTTTTGGACAGAAACGTCAAGATGGATGCTAAAAACTGCCAACAACTGGTATTAAAAGATGTCTTGAAACATTGGGGAACAAATCACTTTGGACAAGCTGGTTTTTCCCTGCAACAGGACTGGGCTCCGGCGTATGGTGCTCACTCAACTCTCAACGCTTGCGCTCGGTTGTTTCCAGGCTTTTGGGATAAGACCATTTGGCCTTCAAATTCGCCAGATCTTAATCCCCTGGATTACTCCGTTTGGGCTATTTTGGAAGGCAAGATCTTGATGAAGACGAATCAAACAGTGGATGCTTTAAAATCTGCTCTGAAACGAGTCTGGGATGAAATAACTGTTTAAGCGTGCGCCACCATTGTGGGGAACTTCCCAAAGCGTTTAAAGAGGTGTATCGAAGCGGATGATGGAAATTTCGAGCATTTGTTATAAGTTATTTGTTGTTATGATTCGAATAAAGAATTTGTTCTTAATTTTTAACTTTTTAAAGCGAGTTTTTAAACCTTTAACTATCTTAAGAAGCGGCTCCGAACTTTTGCCGCACCCTGTATATTGGGTTGGGGAGAATGAGTCGGCGCCGAAATTTAAAGAAACTTTTTGCACCCATAAAACCTTCTTTAAATACACGTTTTGTTTCATCAAAATGGTCCACTATTTCTTTACAAAATGGCTTTTGAGAGATTCCACAAAGTTTTTCTTTTTTGGGATTTTATGGATTCCCAAACACAGCTAATCAAAATGACAAAAAGTCTGACTCATGGCTTGAACAGTTTCCCCACATTCAACATAAACCTTCCTTTGGTGTTTTATATAAAAAAATAGAGAGCACACTACATAAGTTCAAATTTTGAGTTTTTCCGTTCTTCTCCTATATACTCCTTTTTTTTCTAAAACTTCAATTTTGGGAAGCTAACTCTATTTTGACCACACTAAACTTGTCCCTAAAGTGACTCGATTCCTTTTTTTGGCCACTCGCATTTCGGCCTCGAAATTTCTTCAATGCTTCGATCAATTGAAACATGTTTTAGTCTATTTTGTAGAGGAGATTTACAACTTTCAAATAGTTTATAACATTCATCGATATCAGGTTTCTATCGTTGGAAATTTATGAAAATGTTGAAATCCGCATTTCTTATGCATGTACCTAATATTAGGTTGTTCGGATATAAACAAGCGTTACTAAACTTATTTTTTGTGAGGGAAGCTTTTATAAAATGTCTTTCTGTATTTAAAAGTACGTTATCTTGTGTATATTATCGAATCTTTTTAAACGGATAATTTCTCATTTTTAAGATCTCTTTTCTTGCTTTAGATGACCGACTTCAAATATATCAAGTTCGCGTCTGCGTACTTTACGACTTCAAATTGAGCAAAACAGCCGCGGAATCCGATCGAGATTTAGTCAAAGCATTTGGGAATGATGTATTGTCCGAAACCCGATGCCGAGCCTGGTTCCAACGCTTTCGGAGCGGTGATGAAAGTCTCGAGGATCATGAACACTCTCATCGACCTCAAGCGGTAGACAACGATATTTTGAGGGCTGCAATCGAATCGGTTCCATGTCAAACGACGCGTGAACTGGCTCAACAGTTTCTATGTTCAAATTCTACCATTTATGAGCATCTCCACGCCATTGGAAAGGCGATCAGATGTGGGAAATGGCTTCCTCACGAGTTAAGCAGTGCAAACGCTCGTTTATATCCGAACAACCTAATAGAATCGAGTTTAAATTGAAAATGATAAAAGGCAAGCCAATAAATGAGCCTTGATTTCGATTTTGGTGCTCATTTTTGCACTATAAATTTACATTTCAACTAAACTAAATAAACTGAACTTACGCTCTATCTAAATTTCTGTAAATGCATTCCCGGTTAGACTTTTTAATGAATTCATATATAGTTGTCCTTTTTTTAAATCTTCAATTTTGGAAAGTTAACTCTATTTTGACCACACTAACCTTGTCCCTAAAGTGACTCGATTCCTTTCTTTGGTCACTCACATTTCGCCCTCGAAATATCTTCAATGCTTCGATCAATTGAAACACGTTTTAGCCTATTTTGTAGAGGAGATTTACAACTTTCAAATAGTTTATAACATTCATCGATATCAGGTTTCTATCGTTGGAAATTTATGGAAATGTTGAAATGTTGAAATCCGCATTTCTTGAAATCAACATTTAGCCTAATAGAAACTCGAAAATCAAAAGAAAAGCTCCCATAAAAAATCATTAAGTAAATTCATAAAAAAAATAAGCAAAACGATGAGTAAAGTTGTTCGAAAGATATTTTCCCTGAGCACTCAGAAGAAGTAGAGCTTGTTCTTGGCTTGGTTTGAGCCAAAGCTCTCCCACAGGGTCCAGCTCAGATAAAGTGAAAAAACTAGTCAAATATTTTGTCTTTTGTAACTTTTACAATTTTGCAAACTAGTCAAAGATCAATTCAAACACATCCCTTTCATCGTCGATCATCAATCTCCAGTGAATTGTTGCCATAAACAACCCTGTTTCCCTCAAATATCTCTTTTGTTTATTTATCCACTCCTAATAAATATCCAGTTCTCCTCAAATTTCGAATTCTCCTCCATTTCATCCCGTTTTTTTCCATCCACGTGTGCGTCATTTTCTTTGCTCTTCCTCCTTTCTCCTTTCTTCTTTCTCCTCTCATCTCAATTAGCTCCGTAAAGAGTTTTTCTTGTCTTTTTCGTCTTTTTTTGGGTCTTTTTAGTGAAATGTGGTGAGTGAAATGTGAAAAGTTTTCAGATGAATTTATTGAATGACTCGTTGGGAAGAGAATTCCATGAATTTCACGTTACAACGACTACTGTATCGAATGAATGGAGAGATGGGGAGATGGGTGAAGGGATTGCTGATCAAGGGATTGCTCATGAAGATCCATGCAATCTTTGGCCACCGAATAGAAGGTAACTTTTCTTTAGAAGGTAACTTTAGAAGGTAACTTTTCATTTTAAAAGATTTCAAGTATTGATGCCTTTTCATTCACTAATTTGAATTGTTTTAAAATTTAAACTTTAAAAAACATAATCACAAGCTTTTTTGATGTTTAAATCTTTAAATCTTTAAATCTAGGCTTTAAAAATATAATTATTCAATCATTTTTTTGAGAAATCAATGTCGAAATGGAAATTAAATCAAAAAAAGCATCAAAAATGGAAATTCTTGGAAATTCTCGGAAATTCTCGGAAATTCTCGGAAATTGTGGAATCAAATTTGTGCTTTTCATTGCCAAGAAGATTAATTCATCACTTATGCAAATGATTGTTAACAATCTCATTGTTAACAATCAGAATTCGGCAATGAAAGCTCTAGAGGACTTTCAAGAGTCCTTTAATTGTTGAAAAGTGATCGAATTGAATAAAATGAAAACATTTAAGTTAAATGATTCAGTATTAACAATATAACAATTAAAAGTGACAGTTCAAATTCAAAATTCAAATTAACAGTCGAGCGTTTTGCTAAAACGTGTAAACTTTCGAAAGCCACCTTAAATCGAAAAAAAATCGTAAACTATTATCGGCTTACTAGATCTACTTTTGATTCACTTTTCGTAGTGATACTGGTAGATTGGATAATGATTTATGAATCATTATCGATCGATCTACTTTTGGATCGATCTACTTTTCAATCGATCTACTTTTGGATTGATCTACTTTTGGATTGATCTACTTTTGGATTGATCTACTTTTAGATTGATCTACTTTTAGATTGATCTACTTTTGAATCGATCTACTTTTGATTCACTTTTCATACTGATACTGATAATTCATAAATCATTATCCAATCTACCAAAGTATATCAATCTAAAAGTAGATCAATCTAAAAGTAGATCAATCCAAAAGTAGATCGATCCAAAAGTAGATCGATCCAAAAGTAGATCAATCTAAAAGTAGATCAATCTAAAAGTAGATCGATTCAAAAGTAGATCGATTCAAAAGTAGATCGATCCAAAAGTAGATCGATCAATCGATCGATAATCATTCATAAATCATTATCCAATCTATCAGTATCAGTATGAAAAGCGAATCAAAAGTAGATCGATTTGATAGAAGATAAAAGGAAGATGAGAAATTGAAAAGGTTTTAAGAAAAAACCAAAAAAAAAATTAGCTAATGAGATTGAATTTCAGATGGTATATGGTTGCTGTCGCGGGCACATCACTTTCTCTCATTTCACTCATTACAAATCTCCTCATCGCACGAGTGAGTTTCTAATAGGCTAAATTAGGATAAATTAAGAAAGATGACTTAAAGCTAACCATTTTTTACTAAGAATAAAGTTAAATATGATTAGATTAGAATATCCAATGATTTCTCTCTTTCTTCGAAAAGACTAAACAAATCGCCCGCTTTAGAGCCCCGTAGCGTTCAAGAGATCTTTGTGGCTAATGAAAAATGAACTTTACTCGTGTGTAGATGTGTACTTTGTACTCGAAACACACCCTTTCCAATACACTGAGTAATTTGAGCCTATTATTAGCATAAATATAGTAAAAGTTAAGAAAAACTCTATAGAAGTTTCATGCAAATTTTTGGGGTGAATTGAACAAAAAAATGTAGCAGAAAAAAAGGGGTGAATTGAGTGCACCAGAAAGAGTGTGTTTCGACTTTTCGAGCACAAAGTACTCAGGGGTTTTAACTTCAAAATGCTTTGAAGGAAAATTCCCTTTGAGGTGCTTTTGTCCGCAAAACGGGGTCACTTCTTCTTTCTCGGTCTTCTCGCAGTTGCCGATTCATTCATTTCATCGATGTACGGACCGGTGATCGCCATGGATATTATAAAAGAACGATTGGGGGTAAGTGAGAAGTAATAGGAAAAGATTTCAAACAATTTCTAGTCGGTTTGGTTGTCTCAAGTGTATTTGTGGTATGTGGGACCGATGCTGGCTCTTTGCCACACGACAATGACTCTCTCGTGCTTTTTGATTATCCTCGGTAAGTGGGGGGAAATAGTTAATAATAGTTCCTTAATAGTTCCTTAATAGTTCCTTTATAGTTCCTTTATAGTTCCTTTATAGTTCCTTTATAGTTCCTATTGAGCTCCTTTATAGTTCTTTTATAGTTCTTTTATAGTTCCTTTATACTAGGTTCGTGCAAATGAAATTTCGTTTTTTTACAAACATTAAAGTCATCCAAAATTTTTTTTGATAACAATTTATTTAAAACAATAAGCACCATTATTAGCTATGACATCCCTCCAACGTTGCTACAGATTGCGGATCCCCTTCTCAAAGAACGCTTGATTCTGTGATGCAAAGTAGTTGGTCACCCAATTTTCGACTTCTTTTGCATTCTTAAACTGGCAATTCTCAAGGGAATGTTGCATCGATCTGAAAAGGTGAAAATCGGAGGGTGCTAAGTCTGGACTATACGGCGCATGTGGTAAGACCTTCCATCCTAGCTTCTCTAGTTCCTTACAAGAGGTTTTTGCCGTGTGAGCTGGAGCATTATCACGGAGAAAGTTGATAGTTGAGGGATTTAGGCCTTTTTCACGCAAAATTTCGTCAACCTTCTTGAGTTGTTGAATAAAATAAGATGAATCGACTGTTTTTCCGGGCTCTAATAATTCAAAATGAACAAGTCCATTGATATTCCACCAGCAAGACAACATCACTTTGCGCCCATGATAATCCGGCTTTGGAGTTGGAATTGGCGCTTGACCTTTGCTCAGCCATTGTCTTTTTCGAGAAGTATTATCAAAGTGAATCCACTTCTCATCCATCGTCAAGATATTCTCAAAAAAAATGGCTTCTTTTCGACTTCTGGAGCAAGATATGGCTGATCGGAACGCGTGCTCCCAGATTCTCAACACTCAATTGATGTGGAACCCATTGTCCATTACGATTTGTCTTTCCAATTATTTCCAAATGGCGTACAATTGTTGAATTGGAGATGTTTGGCAAGTTCTCGTGTTGTTTGCATTGGATCAGCTTCAATTAATTGTTCCAATTCATTGTTGTCGATGGCTGTGGCACGATGTCCATGCGATTCGTCTTCAAGGGATTCATTACCATCTCGGAATTGGGCAAACCAGAGCTGGCATGATCTTTCGGTGATAACCTGTTCTCCAAAGGCGGAACAGAGATCACGATGTGAATCAGCAGCGTTTTTGCCCATTTTGAAGTCATAGAGAAGACACGTGCGCAGAACATACTTTTGATCCACCATGATCTAAAGCAAAAATCAATTAAAAAGTGAAAGCTCTGACTTTGAAAAAATGCGAAAATAAAGTAAATATCCAAGAGTACAAATGCACAAAAGAACATCAAATAAGCTCTTCAGATTAAAAAAATAAGAACATTTTATATCGACCGAAATTTCTTTTGCACCAACCTAATAGTTCCTTTATAGTTCCTTTATAGTTCTTTATAGTTCTTTATAGTTTCTTTAATCGATAATATAGAATATTCAGTTATCCACTTTTTCAGCCACTCTCGAGCGCTTGTTGATCACTCAAAAGGCGATGTGTTTACCCTCATTTCGGAGACATCGAGCCGCGTGGGCGATTTTCATGGGCTGCATGGCACTCCTCCTCAAAGGGCCAATGTATTTCGAGATTGAGGTTTGATTTCGATATATAAAAGCTCTTGAAACTTGACTTCTGATCTTGCCTGGAGACTTAGGAAGCTTAGGAAAAACAAAAAAATTACCGTACTCTGCCTAAAAACCTATTGAAGGTTCGATAAAGTTTTGAGTATTTTTTGGTACTTTCATTACCTTCATACCTTCATTTTTCTCTTTATAGAGTTGTTCAATTCCAATTTTAAATCAATTCTTTGAATTCTTATTGTTAGCAAGTGTACTCTTTCATATTTTTGTACTCTTTCAGCAAGCAAGTACTTTAGAGCAATCAAAAGTCCCCTTAAAACTTTGATCTCCAATAGGCGTCAGTTGGAGTACGATAGTTGGAGTACGCTTGTTCGTAAGCGGATTTTTTGGAAAAAAAAACTTTATAGGTTAATCTCGAACCTTTCCCATCTATATTTCTATATTTTGTGTCGATTTTCACAAATTCCTTAATCTATTTTCATCTATTATCATTCACGTAAACAATTTAAATTCTCTCACAAAATTATCACGGAATTTGGCATTAATGTGGGAGCAAGCTTTGAAAAATTGGGCAAATCGTCCTGAGAAGTTGGTCTAGAATAAAAAATAAATCATAAATAGCCAGAGAAAAACCCCATGAAATTTGATATTGATGCACTGAAAAAAAGGGAACTTTTTGTTATTCAGTGAGCTCTTCTTTCATATTTTTGTATCGTCATCAAGATCCCCATTCTTTTCCCCATCTTTTCCCCAATTTCTTCTCTTCTGAGGAGTTGATGGGGAAAAGAATGGGCATCTTGATGACGATACAAAAATATGAAAGAAGAGCTCACTGAATAACAAAAGAGATTGAGGTTTCGGATTTTGTGGGGATAAGATAAGCTAGATAAATAGATAGTTTGGGTTTTCGAAGAATGACAATAAAAATGAGAAGTTTAGTTGCAAAAGAACCCGTATAATTGCACGGGCACCGCCGAATTTGTGGCCGGTATGACCGACATCGTGCAAACGTTTGTGTATGGAGCTGTTTTCAAGTGAGGAGAATTTGCGATAATAAAAATAAGTCAATAAATAAGATAACAAATAACTTTGAATATATAAAAGCCAGCGAAAAACGCGTACTAACGTCCACGTGCACTAACGTCCACGCACAGACGGACGGCGCACAGACAGACGGACGGATGGCGCACAGACAGATGGACGGGCGGCGCACAGACAGACGGACGGACGGCGCACAGACGGATGGACGGACGGCGCACAGACGGATGGACGGACGGCGCACAGACAGACGGACGGACGGCGCACAGGCGGATGGACGGACGGCGCACAGACGGATGGACGGACGGCGCACACAGACGGACGGACGGCGCATAGACAGACGGACGGACTTCTGCTTTATATATAGCAGATAATAAATAACAAATAACATAATGAATATATAATGAATAAGAAATAACTTTGAAATGACTATAGTTTAAAGTCTAACTTTTCAGATTTTACATCCGAAATCTTGCCACCGTTTTCATCCCGTTCATCGTACTTGCGTATATGAATTTTAGGTTGAGTTTTTGAAGAAGAAACTTTTTACCTTAAAATACTGTAGCCTTGTTTTTTTCACTATTAGAATAATTATAATATTAGGTTGAGTACTAAGTCTTGCACACTTGATTTCATTATCTAAATTTCGGGGAGTGGGACAAATGCGACCTTTTTTTTGCGCACCCGGACATTTGCGCACCTTTTTTTCCGCACCTTGCCCATTAGCGCACCTTTTTTCGCGTTTTAAAAAAGCTCTAAAAGCTAATATTAACCAATTTCTATTCCAAAAGTTGTTTTTCTAGGTAATTTTAGGGCATAGAATCGAAATTTTGACAAATCAGAGCTTGTGGAAACAAAGGGACAGAGTTATACAAAGAGAAAAATCAACAATTTTCTGTAATTTGACCTAGCCGTTTTGTCTTTCAAATTGGCTTAAGAAGCTCTGTTATGTCAAAATTTGAATTCGACACCCTCAAATTACCTAGAAAAACAACATTTGTAATAGAAATTGGTTAATATTAGCTTTTAGAGCTTTTTTAAAACGCGAAAAAAGGTGCGCTAATGGGCAAGGTGCGGAAAAAAAGGTGCGCAAATGTCCGGGTGCGGAAAAAAAGGTCGCATTTGTCCCACTCCCAAATTTCGTTATCTTAAACTACCAAATGCCAATCAGTTTCTTTCATTAGAAACGTTTATCGTTTACTTTTTATCATTTTAAAACAAGTTTTACTATTTTAGAATAATCTGTGAGTTTTCACTGATTTTTAAAAGTATTGAAAAATAAACAAATAAAGAAAACCGATAAACGAAATATTCCGAGTTTTTAGTTGTAGAAATAACTTTTTGTGCGCTATCTTTTTTTCTTTTTGTCATCAAAATAGGTTTGATTGAAAGAAACGATCCAAATCCAAACGAATCTTATCTTTTTTTGAACACTCGGCTTCTTGCTAATAAAAAATCTTCAAAATAAAGCTTTTCAAAAACTTTCAAACGTCATTTGTAAGAGAAATTAAGCTACTTAATGGAAAAAAAGCCGTCATGGAACCGTATAGGAACCATATTGGAACCATATTGGAACCGTATCCGAACCATATTGGAACCATGACGGTTTCATTTTATAGCTTGAGACTTATTCAATTAGAAAATGAATTTGCGTGAAAGACTTTGTACTTGATCTAATATTTAGTCAAGAAGACTGTCAGTTGAATGACAGTTGAATACCGTATTTCTTCGAATAGAAGACCGGGTAAAGAGTATCATCGCGTACTCCTGCGTAGCAGCCCTTTTTAAAATTTCTTTTCTGCATAAAAGCTTTCAATCAAGTGCTATAGAGCTGGAAAATGACTCAAAAATACCACATGAGCTAACAGATTTTTGAGCCATTTTCCAGCTCTATAGCACTTGATTGAAAGCTTTTATGCAGAAAAGAAATTTTAAAAAGGGCTGCTACGCAGGAGTACGCGATGATACTCTTTACCCGGTCTTCTATTCGAAGAAATACGGTACTTTGTATACAATAGTAAAGTATTGACAGCTGATAGCTTTATTGCTTTACTTATCTGTTTAAATTTAAAATCTTATAACTTTAGAATAGTACGAACACTACAGAAACAACGGCACTCAGCAGAAATGTTCCGATTTGCGTGCAGTGAGCACAAAGTGAGTTCATTTTGAACGAACACCAACTGAAGTGTGCCCTGACTACCGTAATCGCAGCTCAACCTAGATTTAGTCTTGCATCTGACGACAATTTAGTAACTGCTACCATCTATTACGGTTTAGAGATACTAGGGTCACGCTTTAGAGCAGCTACTCGACGCTTAGTGTTCGCGTAAAGATTTATTTGATATTTATTTGATATTTGTATCAATTCTTAAAGCTATGCAACTATTCAAATTGAATCTAATAAAATAAAGTTAAATCTATTTGAGTCAAAACCCATAAAAAGCTTTAGAGCTTTGAGATTATGAGTCGAAAATCGAAGGTCAGTTTTACCAATGAAAATCCTCCTTTTTCTATTTCTTTCACGTTAATGTCAAAATCAATCAATTCTATATGATGTCCTGTTTAAAAAAAACAACTTCGAAAGCGTTTTCTGTGGTGTACTTTGTGCTGAAAAGGAAAAAGCACCCTTTCTGGTGTTCAACTCCGTTTTTTCACTGATTTCTGTGAGAAAATGAACCAGAAAGGGTGTTTTTGTAAGAATTAAAGTCCTTTTTTTGGGGCTTTTGTGTTAAACTTGTGTTCTTTGTTTCAAATTTGATCTAAATTTGACCGAAATTAATATAATTAGCTTGTAGTGTTATTTGAAAGTGTTAAAAACAAAAGAAAACTATCAAAAAGTGATAGAAATGAAATGTAAATCTTGTGCAATCTTGTGAAAAGTGAAATGTAAATCTTGAAAAAAATGACAAGAAAATTTGAAAAAAACGACGAGAAACTTGAAAAAAATGAAAAATGACGAAAAATCGTCTTATTACAGTAATCCGACGAATAAAAAGGGTCGCGATTTAGAAAAAAACAGAAGAAATGTCAACTTTTAGAAAACGGTTTCAGAAAAGAAATTGAAACAGTTTTTGGGCAAAATACTGGGAGTGGGACAAATGCGACCTTTTTTTTGCGCACCCGGACATTTGTGCACCTTTTTTTCCGCACCTTGCCCATTAGCGCACCTTTTTTCGCGTTTTAAAAAAGCTCTAAAAGCTAATATTAACCAATCTCTATTCCAAAAGTTGTTTTTCTAGGTAATTTTAGGGCGTAGAATCGAAATTTTGGCATCTCAGAGCTTGTGGAAGCGAACGGACGGAGTTATACAAAAAGAAAAATCAACAATTTTCTGTAATTTGACCGTTTTGTCTTTCAAATTGGTTCCACACGCTCTGTTATGTCAAAATTTGAATTCGACACCCCCAAATTACCTAGAAAAAAAAATTTGGAATAGAAATTGGTTAATATTAGCCTTTTAGAGCTTTTTTAAAACGCGAAAAAAGGTGCGCTAATGGGCAAGGTGCGGAAAAAAAGGTGCGCAAATGTCCGGATGCGCAAAAAAAAGGTCGCATTTGTCCCACTCCTAAAAAATTTGAAAAAAACGACGAGAAGCTTGAAAAAATTTGAAAAAAATGAAAAATGACGAAAAATCGTCTTATTACAGTAATCCGACGAATAAAAAGGGTCGCGATTTAGAAAAAACAGAAGAAATGTCAACTTTTAGAAAACGGTTTCAGAAAAGAAATTGAAACAGTTTTTAGGCAAAATACTTGAATAAGTATAACTTATAAAAAGGTCAGCTTTTAGAAAAAGGTGCGAAGTGCAACGCGTCTTCTCGTTTTCATCGTGTGCTCTTATCTAATCGCGAATGTTTTGAATCTCGTCATCACCGCTTGGGAGTACATTAGTCCAGAAAGTACTCAATCTGAGGAATACTATGATGTGAGTAAATATAAAGACTTGTACGCAAGCTTTCAGTTTTCTGAGTTTTCAGTAACTATAAATACTTGTACGTAAGCTTTCAGTCTAGGTTTTCAAAGGTGTAACTTCTAGATAGAATCTATGTTTTTGGGCTTAATAAATCTATGTTTTGAAGTCACGTTTTCAGATCTATGAAATAATGACGGATATCGTTTCGGTGCTTTTCATTTTCACTTGTGCCACGCGACTTTTCGTTTATTGCAGTTGTAATAAAGTAAGGATAAGGGTTTTTTTCGATCTAAAGCAAGATATAAGTAGATGTAATTATTGATTTGATTGATTGAATTGATTAATTGAATTGATTGATTGAATTGATTGATTGAATTGATTGATTGATTGGATTGATTGATTGATTGGATTGATTGATTGAATTGATTCATTGGATTGATTCATTGGATTGATTCATTGAATTGATTCATTGGATTGATTCATTCAATTGATTCATTCAATTGATTCATTCAATTGATTCATTCAATTGATTCATTCAATTGATTCATTCAATTGATTCATTCAATTGATAAACATCTCAATCCTTTTTTTCAGGAGATTCGTGACATGGTAAAACTATATCTCTGCGGTTTAACGGCTGGAGATAAACCGTCCAAAAAAAGATACACCGTCTCGAACTCGCAAAGGTTTGAAAAGAGAAATAATGAAAACGACAAAGTTTTAGATTATGTTTTTAGTTAGATTTTAAACTTATGCAAAAGATTATACAATAGTTTTTACGAGTTTTAGATCAACAAACGCCAGTGGGACACCATTTGATCGCGTTGCTGTGGCGGTGGCGAGAAGGCTGGTGTTGGGTGAGTATCAAAATCTACCAATGAAATTCAATAGTATTCAATTTCAATAGCCATTCAATAGTAAGTTATTTCAAAGACAATCTTTCTACACCAAAATCTCAGCTGTTTTCTCGATTTGCCTTGCTTAAATTGGCTTTGTCTTCCACAGAAACTCTAAGCAAGGTTTAGGTCTGGGTTCTTGTTTTGGCTCAAGAATTGTCGACCAAACAACCTTGAACAACCAACAACCTTTAAAATCAACCAACAACCTTTAAAATCTAATGTCCTTGTTCTTAATTTTCCTTGTCTTTAAAAATCCTTGATCTAAAGTAAGTCAGAAGAAACAGAGTCAGAAGAACTAGAGGCTAAACTAGAGGATCTGGCTGGCATGACTCAATTGGGGGACATTTCTGCCTATGATCGTGCTGTTGTTAGCTGAATGCTGAAAAAGTACCGCAAGAATAGCGTAGCGAAAGTCGAAAAAACTTTCTGTAACAATCAAATCCTTACATACAAACTTTACATCGACAAATCAAATCTTTCCAGAGCCAGGATCCAAAGACGAGCAGTCTCCCCTTCACTCAGTCGTCTACGCAAATTCTCATGTTGCAAAAAATGCTAGTCAAATTTGAATGTATGTGATTCGTTTTCTCAACTACGGGTTTCATTAGATTCTAGACTCTTTGCACAATAGATCTTTTCATTAATCTTTTCATTAATCTTTTTATCAATCTTTTTATCAATCTTTTTATCAATCTTTTTATCAATCTTTTCATTAATCTTTTAATCAATCTTTTTATCAATCTTTTCATTAATCTTTTCATTAATCTTTTCATTAATCTTTTCATTAATCTTTTCATTTAATTTCACTTGTCTTTTTTTTCATATCATTATTGGAATAAATAATGAAAATTTTTTGGCAATCAGAAAAACTGTAAACCGTAATCCACAGATCACCGTGATTGGGAAAGGAAAAGCACGAATTCGATGGATTTCTTTTTTCGATTAGAGAAATGAAAGTAGTACAGAAAGAATAAAGTAAGCAGCAATTTTTAACGAGTCAACGACTCGGCTATTACAATATGCAAAAAAACAACGTGAAGATCATATTTTAAGGCATCTTTTAGAATAGAAAAGCATAATCTCGAATGAATGTACAGTGGATTAGATGAGTGGATGGGCACCGGCTCGGCTGAGTTGCTAAACATGCATTAAGTTATATTTTTAGTTTCTTGATTCAATATTGCAATACTATATTTATTTGAAGCTTTACAATACTCTCAAGGTTGTTTTTTATTAGTTGTCTTAAAACTGACTCAAAGCTGGCTTGAAACTGACTCAAAACTGTCTTGAAACTGACTCAAAACTGACTCAAAGCTGTCTCAAAGCTGTCTCAAAACTGTCTCAAAACTGTCTTAAAACTGTCTTAAAACTGTTTCAAAGCTGTCTTGAAACTGACTCAAAACTGACTCAAAAGCGTCTTAAAACTGTCTCAAAACTGTCTACTGACTCAAAGCTGTCTTGAAACTGACTCAAAACTGACTCAAAAGCGTCTCAAAACTGTCTCAAAACTGTCCTACAGTACTCATCAAAAGAATCATAGTTTTCTCCTCCAAAAAAATCATAAGAATCATAGTTTTGTGTCATTCCCCAACCTCGAGCATATTCCATCCGCGAATCTGTGTTTTCAACACGTAAGCGTCGTGCTCTTTGCGGTAGTTTATGCGAGCCGCTCTGCAAAATTCAAATTATAGTCATATTTTAACTTTAAAAAGCGAATTTCCTTTACCTAAGTCCACAAATGAGACTGCAAGCCATTCGTGCCCTCATTCCGCTGATAATCTTCGCAGCATCTGCACACTCACGAACACTCTCGTAACCCTCCAAAAACCAACGAGGGAAACGCGACCAACTGAATGAAAATGAGAAAATGATTGAATAGTCAATTCATCTAATGATATAAAGTCTATTCTTAGAAACTTTACAGCTTTCTTCTTACAGCTTCTTTTTTTGTTTAAACAAGGCAAAAAACCCTCACTCTTTATCATCAGACGAATCTCCAAGCGCTAAATAAAGACAAGTCGCTCCAATGTCCATAATTCTCAGCGAGCAATGCACATCGCCCATATCGATTAAGCCGGTGATCTAGAAATCGATTGCTCAAGTCATAAAACTTGTTGCTTAACCTCAAGTTGTTCCTCTTTTTGCTCAACAAGGATATTCGTGTCGTTGATGTCGGAATGGATTAAACCTAAATCTTTTCGTCATTCACGAATCCCCATTTTTTTTTACATTTGTTTCTTCCAAACTCTTATTTGATATGTTTATTTTATTAAAAGCTGGAATTTTTGATGTTTAAATTGAGAATTTGCTCATTGTATGATTTCCAATTCCAGTTTCTAATTGTGAAGTTTTTCTGTGTCTCTGAAGTTTTTCTGTGTTTAGGGGAGAAAAAATTGTAAATGGGTTTAGAGGCTTTCGTCTTTCGAAGGGTTTTGAGAAGCTTAGAGCTTTTAAATGAATGTGAAATTGGTTATAAATACTAAAAGATTTCATATAACTAGATTTCATATAATACACGAAAAGAAATCGATGACTGACAAGCCGCTCCGAATTTTACCCAATTTTCAATGCAAGTTCAGGAAAAGCGACTCGTTCGGAGAATGGGATTTGATTCCTTGAAATGCTAAGATCTAAGAATTTGTTTTTCTAAGAGCTGAAGCTACTTTCCCAAAAATGGTTAATATAGTGTCAAAAAAAATAGGTCAAAAGATCTTGATCCTTTTCTGAAAATGAGAATAATAGTCTTCTAGGATACCAATATGCTAGTAATATCCTCTAAAACATTGATAAGAACTTTGGATTCCCTAAGAAGCTAGAGAATTCACTAAATTCATTGAGATGCAAAGCAAAAACAATGACATTTTGCTAGCCTAAAACAATACAAAGCTGTTCTTTTGTTTTAAAACAGTAGATAGCTGGAGCTAATTTCTCAAAAATGGTTAATAAAGTCTTGAAACAAATCTTTTTCGAGATTTTTAGAGATTATTAACTTTGAATATAGCTTTAAAGAAGACACTTCAGGCTTTAAATGGTACAAAGTAGAGCTTTATTGAACCAAAAATCCAGAGAGAATCGAGTGAGAGAGAGAGAGAGACAAAACTCTCAACTCAGCTCGCATTGTTTTCTCAGTTTGATTGCTATTTAAGTGGCTTAACGGGATGAAGATTTGTGGCAAAAATTTAAAATTTAACGCAATCTTCCCTTTCAAAAGAATTTTTTAGAATCTCTCAAAACCCTCTAGAAAGATTTGAAGCCTCTAAACATTATGGTGAGTGGTCGAGAGAGAGAGAGAGAATTTGTTACGGAGTCCATGTTATCCGCGTGTATGGTAGTTGAATGGATGGAGATCGACGAGATGTGAATGCGAGCTCTCCTTCGAAAGATTCACACACCCTAGCGCCAGTTCTTCTTCATCACTTGGCCATTCTTTAACCAAATCATCCGCCGGGTCTACAATCGTGAAATGAGTTCCGGGGAAGCCCCCTCAAAAATGCCATCACAATTCAAAAAGAAAGAACAATTCTTTCTCTAACAATAACTAGGTTAAGCGATGGAAAAATGGCAAAAACAACCAGAAAAAGCAGAACTTACCGCGATTTGAGAGAAATATAAAAATAAATTAATAATGGGTACCTGTATCCATATTGTGAGATTCATTTAGCATTTCACGAAGCTCGGCGAATACTTTTCGCACAAGCATCGACTTTTGCGGGGTAAGGAAGCCGGCTTTTTGGAGGATTTCAACCTCTTTCACTGCACAATCGACATTCTCGGCTGCTGAAAAGTGACTGTTAACTCTTTTAGTTCAGGAATATCAACTGGATGTAGTGGCCGAATGAAAAAAATCGACAAGGTGAAAAAGAAAAGAATCGTTACGATCTCGGACAGACGAACAAGGGTGGACTCGAACTAGAGCGTCTCTGCCTTGGATTCTAACCGACTATCACTCGGCCCGACACCCGACAAATGCTTCTTGAAACCCCTGGGAAATCTGCTTATAAACTCCGGGTTTGATTTCTCAATCTCATACAAAACTTTGCGAGCTCATAGCTTTTGATAGAGTGCTTCATCGGAGAAACGGAAAACAGATTCGGAATCGGTGTTGAATTATGCATAGAATGGCCTATGGCTCATGTCATTTGGCTAGCACGCCCAGTTCGCATTCAGTCAGCTACTATCAGTTCTATTCTATGGGATTCTTTTGACTTCCCATTGTCAGTTCACTCACCGATAAATGGAATATGTTGATGCCATTGCGCTTTAGGGATCATGTCCATCACGTTGTGGAAATCGCCAACGAGTCGACCGATTCGGATCACCTAAATGGCACCAAGAATATTCCATTAACTGGAGAATTTATCTGAATGATACACTGCTTTACCGTATTCTGATCAAAAGGAAAATGCTCAAGATTGGTGCCGGGAAGGATTCGAATGAGACGCACTGGTAGAACAACTAAATAGATGCATATACCATAAACGTTTTTAATGGTTTACCGTTATCTGTAATCTTTTCAAGTCTCCAGATTTTCTGTGAGTTTTTCAATGGAATGTAGTAAGGAGCGGGGATTCCGTTAGAGGTGAGTGTCTCGCAGACGTGACGTTGAAAGTCTGAAAACGAATTGATAATCAACTCGAATCTAAATGTTACAATAATGCTTACAATGATGATAGTTCGTATTCTGAAAAAAACGTTGTACAGTAATTTCAAGTGATTAGACTTAGAAAAAAGATAAATCTGAATTTAAGACCTTATAACTGGTACAAGAGCCAGTAAGGTCTACTGGAAAGATTTGAAAAGAAAGTAGGGCCATTCTTGCAGCTATCGAGAAGAACTAACTGTTATTTTGTTGTCATTTTCATTTACCTAATACTGTAATAGTACCCCACCCCCCTCGTACAGTCGCGTAATCGCAAAAGTTTTTAGTATTTAATTTTTTTTCAAAGCACCCGTACTTTCAAAAAATGCGTCTTTGGTATCAAAAAATAGCTGTAATTCAGGGCTATTTTTTGATACCAAAGATAATGACGGTGCGGAGTGTTGCGTAGTCTAGCTTTGAACGAGTTTTTCTCGACACTGGTTTATGCTACAATGCGCGCTTAGGTATCAAAAAATAGCCCTGAATTTCAGCTATTTTTTGATACCTAAGACGCATTGTAACAAAAACCAAAGCGAGAAAAAACACAAACACCACGAACACCCCGCCCCGCCCAAATATGAGAGGGAGGTACTTTTAAATAATTTACCGTATGAACAAAAAAACTTACCCAAATGCCTTGTATTCCTCGCAGCCACTGGATTCGTTATCTTGAAATTTAAAAAACATTTTCAATGGGAAATCTTTCAATTCAACCTTGAAGATCACTGTCTCATCCTCGCTCATCCCGTGATCCCAAACACATCGTGTCGCTCGAAAATTCATATCCTCATATCCATTCAAAACCTGGAACTCATATTGCTTTGATTACTTAAAACTTTACAATAAACTGAATGAGTTAAGCTGTTCAGAAAGTCTTTTTATTGCTTTTTGTACTTTCGTTTAAAACCAAAAAATGCACCAATTGAACTACGATTTATTTCATTAGAAAGGACAATCATTTTTCTACAAAATAACTAAAACGGTTTTTAAATGTCTTATGTCTGGATTTTTTGGGAGTGTAGTAAAGTCGGGTAGTGAAAAAGGGCGACTGCTTTAGACCCTTTAGCTAATGAAACCTATCTTTGTGCCAAAAAGTAAAAAATAGAGCACAAAAAGTTCAGTGTATAGTCAAATTTTCAGAGAAATTCATTCAGCCAGAGGTTTTTTTGATAGATTTTTGATAGATGACGAAAAGCACGTGCTTTCACTCTCGGATTTGCTTGAAAGTGAAGCGAAATTGACGTAAAAATATCGGAAATTCACCAATAAACACTTTTTATTTAGAGAAAACCATAGGTTAATTGGTGAATTATTTGTTATTTGGTTTATATTTGTTTTTCAATGGAAGTACAAAAAGAAACGAAAAGACTCTCTGGAAGAGCCTAATAAATGAAGCATTAAGTTCTCAAAATCGATGTACAAAGTCGATGTACAATGATTAGAACAATCTAAAAGGTTTTTAAATTGTCTTATGTCTGGATGACATACCTGTACATCGCATAAACTGTACATACCTGTACATTGCATGAACTGTACATACTTGTACATCGCATGAACTCTACATACCTGTACATCGCATAAACTCTACATACCTGTACATAGCATGAACTCTACATACCCGTACAACACAACGCATAAACTGTACATACCTGTACATCGCATGAAACAATTCCCCACGCATTCTTGAGAATCCGTTTCACCTGAAAACCCTTTGTTCGAAATTGTTTTTTTTTTCAAAAACCTTTTCAATAGGAATCCGCGGTGCTTGAGTCACCTCGTCTTGTGTGAACATTTTATTATTTTTAAATCTGAAATTGAAAAGCATCAATCAAAAGTTATCGATGAAAATATCGATAAAAGAAAAGTGAACTTTCAGAAAAAAAAATTCGCACAAATGAGGAACGGGGAAGGGGAGTTTTTATGAGAAGAGAGGGGGAAATGAGAAAGAAATGGGTCTGGAAGTGGGTAAAGAAGAAGGGGAATTGGAAGTGGAGACCCATTTTGACTGACCAATTCGAGAAAAGCATTCAGTAGACAAGGTTCCCAGGAGGGCAAAAAAAGAGCCCTTTCAATTTTGTTTTTCAGAATTTCGAAACGATCTCCTCGGTTGAATTTTAGCAAATCACTTTACTGGGTAATTTGATTTGAATGTTTAGAAAAAATCTCAAAAATTGATCCAAGGGGGATCGAACTGAGAGAGCCAATGCCAAAAATGCATCCGAGTTCTGGGAGACAGCGCCACTACCACTGGGTCATTGCTTTGGCAGAGCTCGAGTCACTGCTTTGGCGAGCACGCTAGTCCTTACAAACTCGTAAGTCTAAGGGTAAAATTTCAAATGGTTTTTAATGGTTTTTATGGTTCAAATGGTTTTTATAGAAAGCTAGAGCGTTTAGGCAAAAACTAAAAACACCATCGCGTTGCCCGTGTCCAACTTGCGCAAGTCATATAGCTTTGGTTCGGAGTCGCGCTTGCGAAATCTGGTCGTTTTCTAGTAATCTGGTCGTTTCCTAGATACAGTAACTTGCGTAAGTCATATTTGAAATTGAGAATCAGTTGAGATTCTCAATGAAATTGAGATTCAAAATCCAATCGGAAATTGAAATTTTCAAGTTCAGTGAATTGAGGCAAAACTCTGGACTTTAGAACATTATGGAGAACGTTTCCGATTGAAAAAAAAGAGCTGTTTCCTTGTGGGGGAAACTTGGAGAAAGCTGTGTTAGTTTTATAAATTTGGGTAACTAAACCGAAGTATAAATGAGTATGAGACCAAAGTGAAAGACAAATTTTTCCTAAATTTTCCAAACTTTTCTAAATATTTAAAAAAATTTCGCAACAGTTAGAAAAACCAGCTTGAGCAAAATGTCTCTTTATATTATTTCTTTTAGAAAATTTCTCAATTTTTCAATTTCAACAATCTTGTGCTACTTTTGAGAGAGAAAACATTTTCTGTGAGTGATTCAGAGTCATTTCCCTCTTTTTTATCACGTGCCATTCTAAAAGCAGGAGCAAAAACGAATCAAAACAAAGCTATTCCCAAAAAAGTTTTCCTTTGCAAAGTTGTATCTTTGGAATAGTGAGAAAAACAAATATTTTCCTAAAACGGAGATCCTTTTTGAAAGGATTGTGTTTTTTTGGGATCAATAAGGTCGACGCGGGGCGAAAAGGATATGAATCGACGAGTGAGTTGCGAAATGATAAGTCGCCCATTCCGTTGGCGACAAGGAAATCATTTTTCAGATCATTTTTTTCATTTTTGAGGTTTTGTTTCAAAATCTTTAGCGAATGAGGTCTTAAAATAGAAAAAAATTAGGATTGTTTTTAAAGATGAGAATGAGATACGGAAAAGACTAAAATGAGCATTTTAACACTTTTAGTAGCTTTATTATTAGTACTAGTGTTCACTTTATTAATATCAACAGCAAATGGTAAAGCCTGTGTTCTGTAGGGAGTACTGTAATGCTGAACCTGCTAGGACTTAGTGTTGATTGAACACTTTCTAGTTTTTAGAGAACAAGCTTGAGTTGAACTTAATTTAGGCTAATAGGCTGTTCTGAACATGCTAAAAGCATCAAATAGTACAAGTCAGCGAAAAAATGTCGAACGGAATGCGATGGGTGATGTGAGGAGAAAAAGGAAGGGAAAGGGGAAGAGAAGAGAGCCAATGTGTGGTGGGGGACTCTGAAAGGGATGGAGGGACCGAGGAGGTGAATTGAGAGCTTCCAATGTCCGGCCGTTCACCCCTTCCCCTTTCTATTCCCCCGATGGCCACCCTCGGGTCTCTCTGTCTCTTACACTATATCTGGGGCGATTGATTCCGAATTCCAAGCACTCATGTGTGGAGAGCCGAGATGGCGAAAGACGAAAAGAATGTGGCTGAGAATGCGAAAAGACGGATGATTAGTCGATCTTCGCGCATTATCTCCGCCGTGCATCGGCGATAGAAATATAGAGCCGATAGAAGGATCATATGACTGATTTCATGTGAATGTGATCTTTGAAAAGGGTCTGAAATTACTTTAGCATTGAGTTATCAGATGTGAGCTGGGAATTGGCTTGTTATGTCATTTATGAGCGAAAGAAGTTATCTGCCGAAAGTCTTTCAAAAGACTTTCGCAACGTTACGATTTATCGGAGTCAAAGCAACATTTGGCGGGCTTTGGAGAGAAATCTACAAGTCAAAACATTGAGACCATTCGACGTTTCTTTGAAAAGTGATGAAACGAATGGACATCTGGCCTATTGAGTGGAGATTCAGACACTTCTCCCGCCGGAAAATGCTGTTGTGACTGTTTATGAAAGAGCCCAGGCCCGTAACCAGAAAATTTTTAAGGGAGAGGGAAGCTTTTTAAAAATTTAGTTTTTAATCTGGACTTAATGATGTTACATACGTTACATACGTTACATTCGAGCGGCAACGGAGGGCAGTTGCCCCCCCTGCCCACCCTCGGTACGGGCGCGAAAGAACAGATGCTTTTGACGAGCTTTTAGAAAAAATGAAATACAGATTTTTAAAGGAATGGGAAAAATTTGTAAAGATAAGCGACCAAAAACACTTTGAAAATGACCAAAAAAAAACCAGAAACTTTTTTTTTCAAAACCAAAAACTTTTGCAAACCCGAAAGCTAACTTGCAATTGCCAATGTAAAGCCTATCAATTGAAGTCTTTTACAAGTAGAGAACAATGGAGATTTCACTCAAAAATTAAACAATTAACGGAGAAAATGATATTGTGCAGCAGCGCAAATGATGGGAGCGAGGCGAAAACTGAACTTTTTGTCGTTTCTTGCTGAAAAAAGGAAAGAAAAGGTTCCCGGTTGATCAATTGGTGATATTTAGATATTCGGTTTTCAGAAACATCGAGAAAATTTTTGAAAAAACTTTATCTTTGAGACTTTTTCATCTGTGAGAGTAAAAATAAGCTCTTCTCGCGGACTCACTCGTGGGCGATCATTTGAAGGCTTCTAGACTGGCGCCTGAAACATTAACTAGCCCCCCACGTGAACGGAAAAAAGCAAATAGATCACCGATCTTTGGGAAACGCAAAGTGAAAAAAATTGAATCACCGCGGCAAAAATAGCGACTGATAAAATGCGCTAATTTTTTGAGACGAAATACTATAACGCTTGGCTGAATAGCTTGTAATTTGAAAAACACAATTAAAACCATTCAGCGATACTTTTCATTTTCAGGGGTAGGCTAATTTCCGCAACTTTTTTTTTGCGCAACTGGCCATAACTTTTTTCTAAGTGGACCAATCTTTATGATTTTGGTATCATTTTGTATATCTCAATAAGTGTAACAAAACATTAACTAGCCCCCCACGTGAACGGAAAAAAGCAAATAGATCACCGATCTTTGGGAAACGCGAAGTGAAAAAAATTGAATCACCGCGACAAAAATAGCGACTGATAAAATACGCTAATTTTTTGAGACGAAATACTATAACGCTTGGCTGAATAGCTTGTAATTTGAAAAACACAATTAAAACCATTCAGTGATACTTTTGATTTTCAGAGGTGGGCTAATTTCCGCAACTTTTTTTTTCCGCAACTCGCCATAACTTTTTTCTAAGTGGGTCAATCTTTATGATTTTGCTTTTATTTTGTTGCACTTATTAAGATCTACAAAATGACATCAAAATCATAAAGATTGACCCACTTAGAAGTAAGTTCTGGCGAGTTGCGCAAAAGATCTAGTTGCGGAAATAAAATTGCGAAAATTACCCTACCCCCATTTTCATTTACACAAGTTACGAATGTCAAAGGCGTGCTAGATTTTTGCACAATTAAAACGTTTTTAAACAAGCAATATGTGGCATCAAAGCTTAGTTTTCCTTGTGATTGATTTGTTTTCGCTTACCTCGCTTTATGGCTTTAATCTTTTTTAATTTAGATGAAAGCGCTGATCTTCGTGATTCTTCTGGCATCGCTTCCTTCCCGAACATGGGCTGACATCGACAAGGATGAAAAGGAGGTACCTTTTTATTCATACAGCGATCAAAAAAGTTTTGGCCGGCCAATGTTTTTTCATTTTCTTCCGTTAGATCGCATTCAAATAAATCGATCCCAATTAGTTTTTTTGTGAGAGCTTTAAGATGATAGATTTTTGATATGTCTCTCTAAATAGAATTTTTCAAGCTACTTTTGCATAAGAGGGTAAGGTCCTTCTTCTCAGGTTTTGTTTAAAGGTTTCAAAACTGCCAGTAGCCTTTCATTTTCACCAGAATCTAATGATCTATGGATCAAGTGAACACTGACCGGCCAAGACTTTTTTAACGACTGTATGCATTGGTCTGAGAGTTGTTGGTCATTCCAACAAAAATACATTGCTTTTATTCGGTTTATAAATCGTTGACATTTTTCTACGATTGTCAGTGAATAACTTTATTATCGTGTGTAAAAGCTATCAAAGGTGTCTCAAAATGCGTTTATCTTGTAAAATTTGGTAGTATATGGCTGCCAGTTGTGGTCTTAATTTATTTAAATGATTATTACCTTAAGATCTAGTCTTTTTGTCAAATTCCTTGCTTATAAATTGTACTTTAGATCGAGAAACGAGCCGTTCTTCTTTTCAGCAAAGAGACAACATGGAACTATCCATTGACGTTTGGGCAAGAAATACCGATTCACTACAAAATCTACAATACTGGAAATATCGAGGCGCGAGGGTAACGCTTTTGCTACTCTTGTTATGATTATTTATGGTTAGAGTCCACTTGGAGGAACAATGGGAGTCAGGTTTTGGAGAAATTCGCTCCGGAAGTCTTTCGGCTTTCTTCCCAGTGATTGCCC